ACCATCACCTGTCGAGGATGAGGCACCATCACCTGTCGCGGAGCCATCACCTGTCGAAGAACCATCACCTGTCGAAGAACCATCACCTGTCGAAGAACCATCACCTGTCGAAGAACCATCACCTGTCGAAGAACCTGTCGAAGAACCTGTCGAGGAGCCAACACCTCCCCCAACGAGCGATCCAACAGCTGTCCCAACGAAGAAACCAACTGAGACCCCTACCGCATCTCCTTCCGCAGCACCGACCACAACACCAGAGCAAACGGCCGGGATTCTAGGTGCATTTCCCGATGACACTCCTATGTCGGACATAGCAGAGGGAGTTCGACAAGCGACGGCAGAGAAAATTGGGGAGGCCACCTCCGACCCCAACCCGGCCACCTCCGACCCCAACCCCAACCCCGCCAGAAGAATATTGAGACCCAGGGAGGTGCTTGATGCTATTGAGATCGAGGTACTTGTAGAAGTTATTCCGTGTGATCCCGAATTATTCGCGAACCTAGATTCTACWATTGCGTGTTTCTCGATCCTAATCACTATCACCGCACCTGTATGGACGGGAGTGAACCCATCAGCCACCACGGAGGAATTGGAAGCTGACGTCGAATCAGGGGACCTAGCTGAAAATCTCGAGGATTTYGGATTGCCAGATGCAGTTATCGTCCTCCCACCCAGTGAACAACCGAGTTCTATGCCGAGTGCACCACCGTCTGTCTCCGCCGCGCCGAGTTCTGTTCCGTCCACTCTTCCGTCTCGGATCCCTTCTTCGACCCCTTCTTCGACCCCAAGCGTTTTGCCATCCGAGAGTCCATCGATGCAACCGAGTGGTGTTCCAACGAAGAGTGCCAGCCCAACCGCGACCTCGAGTCCAACCGACAGCCCCTCGCTTTCTTTTAGACCATCCTTGAGTTTGATTCCGAGCACGATGCCAACCAAGATCCCAACCTCCACACCCTCTGTTGCGCCGTCTATTGAGTCATCCGACGCCCCGACCCCCAACTGTGTCGACGACGATTCGTACCGCCTCAACGGTTTTGAAAAAAAAGATTGTGCATGGGTTGGCAAGAAGAAAACCAAGAAGAGGTGTCGAACGAAGGACAAGAGATTCGAAAAGAAGAGGGTCAGGGACTTCTGCCCCATGACCTGCAATAGTGATTGCCGAAGCGAGGCCCCGACCGGTGCACCCACTACCTATGGCCAGTTTTTGTGTGGCCGGGATGATGCCAACTATCGGTTCAAGGGAAAACCGGACAATAGCTGCTCCTGGGTGGCTAAGTCACCACTGAAGCGCTGTCGAAAGAAGGACCCTACTACTAAAAAGAAGGTCAAATTTCATTGCCCTTCCTCCTGCGAGCTGAAGTGTGCCTGCGTGAACACCGCCAAACGCTTCAAAACGGAGGAGAACCCGGACAGCCGCACAAAATGTTCCAAGATCACGACGGATCAGTGCAACGAAAAAGCGTTTAGGGGARAAGCGACTGTCGAGACCACGACAATGGTTGAAGACTTTTGCCCCAAAAAATGCAATGCCTGCCTCACTGCCGATCCGATTCCCTTTTGAAGCATTCGGTAGAASAACRTTGACCATCAGTCCGAAGTAATTATTCAGAATGAGCACAGACAGCTGGTTCAGACTTGAAAAAGTACCGTACGTGGTCAAAAATATCTAGTTGAACTGAATTTAAATGTTTAAAAACGAAACGAAAACAAAATGCGCATGGTTTTTCATATTTTTCGACCAAGGATGGAWCATCGGTTTTCGAAGCGATGCGATGCAAACTGCGAACCCCCAATAGTAAAATACAATAGTTCAATACCAAAAAAATTCTTMTTATYATGTTTAACCTCGTGAACTAGAAGAGGCACTATATGGCCAGAACCATAGCTTTTGGTGGAAAGTATGCTTCTAGTCGCACCGAGGGGTGGCGCTTCCCTCTGAAGAGGTTAGTGGAAGTGCGACCAGGTTATTGGTTGGGCTGGGGAATTATGTGAAATATTTGCTCATAGTAGTTTGAATGGTATGTTTGGTTGCGGCAGAGACCAAAGAAATCTGTGGTGATGCATAGGGTTTATGTCGTTTCYTCTTGGAGTACGTGTCAAAGACCAGCCCATCTTGTGTGATGCTCTGTGGAAAATACTGCTGGGTAATAGGGCAAGTGTTGGAGACAGAGGCGAGCAAAGCTTTGCTGACGCTGGCCAGAATCGTTTTCTCCTGGACTCAATGGTAGTAATCTATGAGCCTGGAAGTAGGTGCAGTCAATAAGAAGGTTTCCATATTGTCTGGGAATAGATGAGCGTGGGATGGACAAGTCTGTGGTTTCAGTGAAAACAGAGCRCTGACTTTCAGTACTGCTTGCTGTTGATGCTGTGCTTGCTTCTGAGAAAGGGTGTGGCCATGGAGATCTTTATTTTGYTGTTCCCATAAGGAGATATAAGACATGATGAGAAAGAATTCCACAAGATAGCCCACCAACACAAGTGTGGAGTGAGAGCTGGAATGAAGGTCAAGATCAGTGAACCACTGGAGTGAGGAAATATGCCCGGCAAACATGATGTGGTGCCATCCAATCTCACTTTGGAAATGAAGAACTGGATGAAGGGAAGTAGGATATTTCTCTGGAGAAACTGTGCCAGTGTCTATCCATTCGGTAAGACAGCTAGCAAGTGTGTCAATGGTGATTGGCAGTAATATGACATCAATTTTGGCAAAGCTGTAAGATGACATGTTGCAACACCGTTCACGGAACTCACAGTGTTTACATTGCCAGCACAGAACAAAATTTTTCCCACAGAAATAACACGGAGCTCAACAGAGTACATATTCTGGTTCGATTTCGGTACACGCGCTGCGCGAGCTCCTCCACAGTTATATTACATACTCGAATCGCAATTCCAACGCACGAAGAACAATAAAAAATGGTGAACAATGTCCATTGCAACTGCAACTGCAACTGCAACTGCAACTCATCGCACCGCAGCACTTCGCATCCTGCCTGAACACAGAGGAACTCGAATGTGCCAGTTTGTTTGAAATGGGAAATTCAAAGACGAAATCGCCCGTTACAGCGCCGAGAGGTCGTCGAGCGACAATGATCGCCTTTCTGCTGGGTCTGTCGGTTGGAAAAGTGTTCTTCTCGTTTTCAACTTCGATGTCGTCCTTCCGTGAAGAACGTTCCACCGTCGACTTTGCGCCACCGCAGACGTCGCAAGGGTTGCAAAAACAAACGCAAAAACAAACGCAGGTGCAAACGCAGGTGCAAGACGCCTCGGAAAGCATGCACGTACGCCGCCCGTTTGACGCCGAGGGGAACATTGGGATCGTTTCCAAGAAGGACCCGTCCTTTTTCCGTGCTTTTCAGGAACAGATTGATTCTATGGACGACGAAGCCCGKTGCGACCGATATCAATTCAAGCTAAAGAGCAAGGACAAGGAATTCCGGAGAAAACGACCGAGGCGGATCTTTTTTGGTGCGCTGGTGGCAACGGAAACCTGGGAACTCTTCGACATTGTTTCCACCGAGGCCTACGGAATATATGACGGAATCGTGCTGGTGGAGAGCAACCGGACGCAGAACCTCCACCCGCGGAATCTCACCCACTACAACCAAAAAGARAAACACGAGGCGATCATTGGAGAACTCTTTGGGGTACCCTCGCACTCGGCGAAGATWCGCTTCTGGAGCAACGAAGACGAAGATCTGAGTGATCTTCCACGCGAGAGTGCCCAGCGAGACGATGTCCTGAACGGATGGAGGGAGCTAGGGATGCAGCCGGACGACGTTGGGATTTTGTCGGACATGGACGAAGTGCTTACGCGAGACTTTTTGCGGGCCATCCAGGTCTGCGATGTCATCGACGAGATTGACTATCGCTCTCACGGGTGCCGACCGGACAAGATGGGATTGCGAACCGTCACACAAATCTACGAGGGCTCTCCCGAGTGTGTCACCGACGAACGCTATGGTTTTCAGCCATCTGTCTTCTCGGGGCACTGCATCGAGGGCATCGGTGACCCATCGGTGCACAAGTCCCCACCGAGGAACCGCGAAGGCGACAGGCTTGGGGGTTGGGGGCAGTCCGATTGGGACGATTCCAAGCCATACACCCCGTCGGCCAACGGGGGGGATTTTCGAACCACGGGAGGTGCACGCAACATCAACTTGATCGTGCCGGAGCGACAATTGAAGACAAAACGACACTACAACGTCTACACGGCATATCATTTTCACAATTTCTTTAGCAAGGGGAGTACAATTCGTTTCAAATACAAAACCTATGGGCATCCCAACGAAGATGCCAACMTTGTCCCACTACAAGAGCTGCAATCCGATCTGGCCATTATGGTCTACTGTGCAAAGAATGAGRCTGATCCGGAGGAAGCAGAATTCCACCGCGTTGTCGGTGGTTTCGAAAGCCTGGACCCTTTCACACCTATTTATTTCCAGGATGCCGAATATCGTTTTCGCAGACAGGAGTTTATTCAAAAACTGGTTCGTGACGATGAGAATGACCAAAAAAAGAGAAGGGAGGAAGAAATGGAAGAGAGAAAAACGGCGGCACTCGCCAACAGGTTACAGCGGTTTGGAAATCATTTGAGGATGGCCCAAACTCCTACAAATCTTGATCTTGCGATACAGAAACCTGCTTATCCCGAAAGCACAAAAGTGAGCTGGCGATGATAGACGAGACGAGATAACCGAATCGAAGGAGTGACAGGCCACGAAGATTGTAAAYCAATTGTTCTTCTTCCCTTGAAAAAGTTGCCAACATACAGAAACATATGGAACAAGTTCATTCTCTTCATCCATAGCTCGCTTCCGCGCCGGTTCCAACCACATTTCTGACGGGACCATAATTTCTGGCTACACAGAAAAGCAGCTGGCGTACAAAACGACGATGAGCTGCTTGGTTTCCAGGGATATCCTTTCGCACGCTCTGCTCGGTTTTCAACTTATGATGCCTAAGATATGCTTCAGCGACGAAAAATGGACACACCACACCTGTTCTATCATCTTCTGGACACAAGGTTACGGACACCTCTTATCCGTTCTATACCTCGCAATTTTCTCTCGACCCAAACAGTCGTGTCTGGCTTCTCGTGTGACACAGTATTGCACATGGTCGTGCCTCGATAGATCGAAGCTGCACGCATGCTGTATGTCCCGACGTCACTTAGTACCAAAAGATKAATTATGTTAACTTTATTTGTAGGTCTAGTGGTACCAGCACAGTGATATTCTAAACGTTCCAGAATTCAACCATGGTTTTGGCGCCAATCTTTTCTTGCGGCTTTGCGTTCTGCTGAGATTCCCATGTACGAAAAAAATCGATCGTAGACTTCGTTCATGGCCTCGTGCCACTGAACGGGCTGTATCATTGGAAAGTGCAATTATCTCGTTGACACTGCCTTCGCCGTTGTATAATCGCCCAACACGGGGCTCTTTCCGCTGTCCTTCACCCGCCATGCGCTCTTTTGTTGTCCCAATACTCGCCTACAATCTTTTGAGCGACGCAGTAGCAACTTCCACAGCACAAGACATACTCGACTAGATTTGTGGTGTCATTTTCTGCACTACACTGTTCCGTTCGAGGCAACCAATTGATCACCAACCAAAGTCTGATTTTCAAATGCTTACCGACATTCTGGTCCATTCCGTTTGAATGTTTGACACCCACACCAACAGGAAGTTCAATTATAATATATCATCGCCCTACGTGACAAAGCTTTAAATAGTTTATGATACAGTAAGAAGATGTAATATTCAGTCCAGCGATGCCAAAAATTCCCTGAGCCGTCCCACATACTCCGCCAGCTTTCCAGGTCCCTCTGTGATATCGTTGTGCCCCCGATCGGGGACCCACCATGGATCCCTCTTGAGATGGTCGGGAACCGCCGCATGCATGGCAATCCCGTGCCCGACGTCGACCTCCTCGTCCAACCGTCCATGGATAACCATGACGGGGCACTTGGTCTTGGCCACGCGATCGATATTGGGGTAGATGTCTAGGCAGGCGAGCGCTCTGCGGCGTCAACCCGGATCCACAGACCCAGTACGATAGCGAACAAAGCAGCGATGCAGTGCGAAATGGTACGAAAGCAAACCAAGCCAAGCAAGCGACCACACAAAAATGAAAAAAACAGTACAAACATTATTTTGTAAGCTACAATAGGATCGAGCACTGTGTAGACGAATTTAGTATTCCATCCAAAAGAACAAAACGCAACGCCAAKCAAAACAAATGGCGAAAGGGAAATCCAATGCCGTCCAGTTCCAATCCAAACTTACCGACTCGGTGTGAGGACCCGCATACCGCTCATAAAGGGAGAGTGCAATACCATCCCGGCCAGACCGTCCACATGCCTAGCAAGATGGCAGCACGGACCGCTCCCGACCGACTGGCCATACAAGATAATCCTCGACTCGTCTCCCCCGCACACGTTGTGGAGGGTCCACTCGTAGACCGCCGCAATGTCTGTGTAGGTGTTGGCCTCCATCGCAACGCCCCCCGATGCGCCGTAGCCCGAGTAGTCGTAAGAGACGACGTTGCACTCAAGAGAGTTAGAAAGTATCACCTGTAAAGGGTACATGGCTCCAATATCRGTGGCATTCCCGTGGCTGTAGATAATTGTCATGGTCTTTCTACCCTCCGAATTGGTGTGCGCCTTGGAACTCGGAACTCGGTAGACGATAGCGGCGCAGTGCGACCTGTTTTGGTGAGTTTCTTTGTTGTCGCTACTGCTTTTGCTTCTGCTGGTGGTGGAGCTCTTGGCTGTGGTTTCGTTTTCGTTTCCAGTTGAATTCGCCTTTCCTTGTTCGGAGAACGAAATGCCCTTCCCGGTGGGAATCTTGATGGCTTCCACCGTCCCCCCATTGTCAATGCGCGGGGGAGACAACCGAGGATCCAGCACCAGTTTGTATGTGACCCCGTTGGACGCGTCGTGGGTGTCACGAGCATTTCGAAGCTTGCCCCGTTTTCGCAGGGCCTTGGCCTGGTCCGTAAATTGCTGGGCGGGGGAGCGCACCTTTTTCTTTGTTTGTCCTTCCCGTGCCTGGTAGGCTCCATCTGTCACTACTTCTACACCCTCAGCGTTGTCGTTGCGATTCGCCAAAGAAGAATTCTCTGGGTTCTGGTTCTCGTCGTTGTCACCATCGTCTTCTTCTGGCAGGGGATTTCCGTCCTTATCGAGCCGCTCGAATCGATAGAGGGGTGGATCCGGTGGAAAAAACGTCAGAGCCCCAGCTACGGTTCCYTGGCTGAACCCACTCTGTACCCACAGACAGAAAATGGCCTGGATTGCGGGTGGACAGATGCAGCACATTATGAATGGTGCTGCACTGAGTTTCGCTGAGCTTTCGCCAGTTTTACGCTTTAGATATCGTGCCGCTGTGCGGTGTCCTGCCGTACGATGTTTGTTGTTTGTTGTTTGCTGTTTGCTGTTTGCTGTATGTCGCCCGGCTTTCCTTCTCTTCCTAGTATGACTTCACTAATGGCATAAAATCATATAATGTTAGTATCATGAACCGGTGCATTTACCCGTTGCTTGTTACACAATTATTCTGTCCGAGGCAAGTAACGCTAATCAAAGGGGAAATCGGAAATCACAACTATTTACTGAGTTGCATCCATCCACTTGTTCGACTTCGACGTTGTAGTTGAAGTCAGGCTTTCGGAATCAACTATCGCTCCGTTGCAATTTTATCTCCGCAACTCTGCGACGGAGGCTACGTAATTGGTAATTGTGCAAAATTCAATACCAATAATAGTACGGTAGGAGTGCAAGGAGCACTAGTACGAAGTAGGAGTTCACATGCTGTACGGTACGGTACGAAACGATGTACGGTAGAATAGAAGTAATGAGACACAACGATTTTATTCGTACCGGTATGGCAGTAGTACAACTGCCGTACCGGTAATGCATTGCACTTGTACCTACAAGTAGTAGAATAGAACACAATAATAACAAACAGGTGGTGAGTACGGTCCGTACAAGAACTGTACTRTACTCTACTGTACTTGCATCTTAAAAATTATCCTTGACATTTTGCAATACGCAATGAGCACCAATGATGACTTTGCATCTTCTTATGTTTTTCATGTGTAATGCGCTAGGCTATAATTGTGGCGGCGCCAGCCTACCTAATGATAGGAGTATCATCCGTTGCAATGATTTTTGTTGTACAGTTGAGTTACACCCGCATTATTGGGACTTCCTAATTGCCTTGGCGGTTCCGAAGAGAAAAGCGCGCCAGAATGGAAACCTTCTCGGGGCTCGGGGCTGGCATGGAATATATGGGACGGTAATCGGTACCGTACTACCGTACCGTATGGTATSTCGTATMGGTGCGCTGAATTTTAATATGGAATATGGAATTCTGAGACTCTACCCAGTAAATAAATGGAAATCATTCATTCTCGATAATGGAGGTACGGACAGACAAAAATGATYAAACACGAACCACTCAAGAAAAAAACTCCCAAAAACAACAAAGAAATTCAAAATTGAAAAATATACTACTTGTCGTGTTTTCTCAGTAATTTCTAATAAACCTTKAGAACACATTTTGTCGGAACAAGCAAGTCGACGACGAAAAATCTAAGAGTACGGTTAGCACTGAAAGGTAGAACGAAAACGAAAACGAATGYCTGGGATAATTGTCTATCGCAAGTTCCSATAATCTCATCACACAGTAGTTTTTAGAGCACGATTTGATCAAAACCGAATTGTTGCGCAAAGAAGATCACACCGAATCAACAGGTGAGAAATGCAACACATGCCGTAGAAAGAAAAGAACCACGCAACAAATTCAATCCGGCCCGATCCGATCCGTTCCAAACCGATCCAACATCTTTCCAAATACAGTCCAATTCTACTCGATCCAATCGCCAACCATGAGACCCCTCACCGAAGACGAAACCAAGACCCTATTTCTAAAACTCTCCGAGTATATCGGGAAGAACGTCGAAAAAATGATCAATCGAAGCGACGAGCGATACTGCTTCCGACTCGTGAAGGATCGCTGCTACTACGTCAGTGAATCCATCATGAAGGCAGCCACGAGCATCGCCCGAGATCATCTCCTCCATGCCGGAACATGCATTGGAAAATTCACCAAGTCCGGGAAGTTCCGCCTGCACGTTACGGCCCTCGAGTACCTGGCACAGTACGCAAAACACAAGGTCTGGGTCAAGCAATCKGCAGAGATGTCCTTTCTTTACGGCAACCACGTCAACAAGCAGGGGCTGGCGAGGATGACGGAATCGACACCTCAGTACGCGGGCGTCGTTGTATTCAATATGAACGACATCCCAATGGGATTCGGAGTCGCCGCTCAGTCTACTGAGCACTGCCAGTCGCTGGATGCCTCTGGGAACGTTGTCTTGCACCAGGCTGACATTGGTGATTATCTGCGTGGCTTAGAAGACGACGTCTTTTAGGTCATCGTTGTRCTAGCTGCCGCGACAAATGCGAGGATTGGGGCTTTCTTCAGCGGTGTTCAACAAAATGCGACGCAATGCAATTTAATGAAGTGAAATAAATGAAATGGARAAAAACCAATCGAACAAAGGAATATGGGATGCGATGCTTTACTATGAGTTTGTTTATGTTTGTATGCACATACATAGAAAATTCTTGCATGCTACTTTTGGTTGGGATGTTGATYAATGCCCACCGACGAAATCCATTGGGCATACACAAGAACGAAACAAAATCGAGGAGCAAGTAAAATGAGGTGCTATTGTATCGATTACATGGAACGGTTGCGCTTCGATCTATCATGCTGTAATATTGTATTCTATTCTGTGTTGTCCATTGTGTGCATGAGATTCTTAGCGGTTATCCAAAGGATTTGTTACGCGGCCCCTTCAATGTACTAGGATGCATCCATACGTGCGCTGTGGTGCACCACGGCATGCTACAACATTGCTCCGAGGATATGTTGTCACGACAAACGAACACAAAGCAATACTATGAATGGAATGGAAAGAACGACACCAACGGAGATACCTCTAGAACAAATAAGCAAAATCATACACAARCATTTTGTCTAAATATTTCTATTCGTAGCGCTCCTAACTACGAGAGAGTTACTATCAATGCTGCTCTCTATTGATGCTGCTGCCATCTTGCAGCACCAATCTTTAGAGAATCACTTTTCTAGCAGCTCGCAACTATTAATAATATGATCCCCACCAGCATTCACTTATGGTTCTCCATGAGCAAGCAGCGATGGGAATTCTCAAGTAGTRWGGAGTGATATTAGCGCCCCTCAGTAGTACTAAGGAGCACTAATCAAATAATTTTGGTGCAGGAATACTATTTAAATAATTGAAATTATTCTTATTTCTACTTCTTTCGTCAGTTGGACAGTTTTCAAAACGCTTTATACTAGAAGTAGTCGTGCTGTCATTACTAGAAATTGTTGTGCCTCTAAGCTAGAAGAAGCAAAATCCAACAAACCTGAATCGATACCACATGGAATCACCCATCTGCAAATAACGGGTAATGAAACCAGGACTACGGTACATAGTATTCGCAGTACAACCCTTCGATTTTTTCCAACCAGGTGAATTACCAAGAAATTTGCCCCTCCTCCGACTAAAAACAACAAGCATCCGGGACGCGGGAGCGTGGCCATTCCAAGGTTCAATCAAGGCAGGCGGGGATTCTTGCGGTRCTATGAGAAAGGAGTGGGATTGAATTCTATGGCGAGGGTACGGTGGGATTTTGTGGCAAGACAGAAGGTAGACATGGCCTTTTGCCAGCCTTGCACCCCAACCTGCATTCCCATACTAGTGATACCRGAGAGCCAGGCAAGGAATCAAGRCAGCAGAGAGCGTTCTTTCATTCCCCCACTAATCTCTATGGAAAAGGACAACACAATTCCCGCCGAGAGCATTTCGATTCGATTGTATTTCATTTTTTCTATTCTTAAAGATTAAATTTCTTATTGCATTAGGTTTTTTTTTTAATTGATGGAACAGAGGTGTTGTTGAAGCGATTGATGGCAAAATTGCCAGAGTTGTGTTGTTTCTTGTCTTTCGGTTTCAGCGTGGCATCGATTTCCCTATGCATGATGTATGTATCCAAGTTGATAAAATGAAGTCGAGTAGATCCGGCACGATTCGTGCTGGTTTTTGCTGCTCTATTGGGTCTCTCTGCAACACAATGTACCATGTACTGATTGACGACATTTATACAGTACTCTGTCGCCGTTCCCTCTCCGATCGATTGATCAAGTGCAAGGTACCGTGCTATTMYGTTCCGATACGCAAATGTTCCTTTTATTCTTGTGTTTTGATATTCGTGTGTCCTCTTTTTTTCCTTCTATGCTCTTGTCATGGCCGTTCTTCCGATCACAATTCTTCTGATCAAATTCAAATTCCTATTGATAATAATCCATGGCAGCGTCACCAAATGCCAGGAATTCAATCGTCTTCTCGGCARAGTGCCCGGGCGCATCATGGAAGGTGTCGACCTTGTGGGGGGCGTCGAACAACTCGAGCAAGGCATCGACAATTGGATTGTTTGCATTTGCCGCTGTCGCCTTCGTCGGTGCTACTAGTTTCATTAGCACGACGGCAACAACGAATGCCACGGAATAATTCCAGTGCGAGATTTTGATTAAGAACATGGCGTGATGGTATCAAAATATGAGGTTGTTTGGAATGGAGAGATGTGTGCTTCTGTTGTCGGAGGCTTGATGAAGCCTGTTTATCACTTTAGAGTTTGGCAGTTAGATGATTTACTCAAGAGGAATACGGTAGTGCTACTAATAGAGCTTCCAAATTATGGGCATCAGAGATTGTTATCGATGGCAATTGTTATTTAGCTTCTCACTTGGATGAAACTAGTGCCGAAAGGTAAGCAGAGACAGAAGGAAGGAACACAGGTGGTGTTCGAAGCAGTGTTATGGCGTTTTGAAACCAAAACGAGCCGTTCGGAGTAGCGAAACGAAATTGACTTCTGTCAATCGTAACCCACGGTAATCGTGCATACTTGACGGTAGAGAACGAACAAAATAGATGCGAGTATCGTATGACAACGAGTACGAGTACGAGTACTTTTACTCGTATTTTCACACAATATGTCAATTCCTAGGCTTTGGTTCGCATTTTTTCATCCGAAGATTCYAACCAATGACCGGGCGAGACATAAAAAACATCAAAAAATTCCTTTGGGAGAGGAATTGAGATGTGAAGGAACCAATCACGATACTCCAACGGTTACGAAGTAGTACAAGTATTTCGAACCGTTTGGTTTTCCGTTGCTTTATTATGTATGAATGAAATGCTTGACGAGTGCTCTACCTTTACTTCATACAACGGGTTTTTAGTTCTGACAGGTACAGAATTACTGTACAGTACTACAATTATTTCAATTGGGGTGAGTAGTTGGTGCTTGATTGGGGTAAGGAATTTGATCCGCTGCTCCGCTTCGTCGACACGCCTCCCGCCATCTGCATGCCAGATGGTACACCAACCGTTTTCGACCAATCAAAATAGAAAAAAAATGTCACTCTCATGCTGTAGTCGTACCGTACATAGTACTACTGGAACGTAAGGGGCGGTAAATTACATGTGCAGCATGAACCAACGGAATTKAAAAAATTAAAAAAAATTAAAAACAAAAATAAAAAATCACAGATAACCACTTAATTTGTTGGCCGACGATGGGTTCCCAAATTACAAATTACTGTACGAAGTACTGTAGTTGAAACTGCGAGTACGGTACATACCGGTATGGTGATCGTACGAACAATAATTCAAGTACAAATTACTTCCTCCATAACTTTCTTTTCTACCGGTGCGTACCAACATAATCTAATCTTTGAACCGATACAACCGAGAGTCAAGGCTGGTGATGATGACCTCGGATGCGACATCGCATTCCATWTGTGACGACCTTTCCAGTAATTGCTAACCAAAGCAAACACGTGTACTAAGTTGGTRGTATGATGATGCGACAGCCGCCACTGGCTGTGCAGTTTTTGTTGTTGCCGAAGAGGGTTTTGCGTTTGGGCTTGGTTGTTGGTATCGGGATCGCTAGCATCGGCGCGGGCATTGGACTTGACATCCGTATTATTACTAGTACTCTCCTTGTGGGGGCGAGAATAGACAGCGTTCGATCGTTTTCTTTCTCCAGCATTGATTCTCGTTGCCACCGCAATCGTAATCGAAGTTCTTGCCGTAATTTAGGAAGCAACTTTCATAATCGCCGTCTCGGAACATTGCAACAAGAGAATCCTTCCTCCATTGTTCCCCACTACTACACGTTGTCTGTCACCCGATCGCAAACCAACGATGGCGGTCAAAATAGTGCCGGCAGCATTCAAACACACACAAACATCGGGACCAACGGTGATGAATCTCCCCCAGGTCTAGTGTCGAAAACAAMAAAGCACAGGCTCAAGACGGRAGGACATAGAAATGGAAGCTCATGGCAGGTGTGGAAAGTAATTTCTTGGCTAGAGGAATCTCTATCGTTCGACAAAAATGGAAGCAGTGCCACAAGCGAGGGGTACGGTCCAACGGGGGAATTCACAGCGCGAACAACTCCAGACGCAATAACAAACACAASAACARCAGCAGCARCAACAACAACAAAATCCCTACCTTGGCACCACCCCGCACCCAGATCATTGGTTATGGAGGTGGTTGCAATCCTACGAAAACTCGCGAAGAATTACGGGGGCGACAGCGAATGGAAAGGTGTCCTCAACAAATCGACGCTCCTCCATGAGGTAGAAGAATCGATTGTTGCCCTCCATTTCCTGAAGTGCCAACTCCTCGCGCTGGAGGAAAGCGACAGCGACAACCGCACAACTAACAAGACTCATCCCTCTCGTCGCCGGCGAGAAATGATCGTTGTTGATGCCTGCTGTGGCAAGGGCGTCTTTTCCCTGTTGTGTTCGTATGTATTTGCTGCCAGGCGCGGAAATGGCGATGACGAGGAAGACGACAACAATAACGAAAACAATGACCTGAAACTAAACTGCTCGCAAACCTCGATCCGCAAAATCATTATGTTGGACAAGGATCCAAAGCTGCGCTGGGATCACRTTAAAGACACTAACAATGATCGAAACGAAAATCAACAAAGGCCGTTGATTGAGTGCTGGCCAAGGTTCAATCTCCACGAAATTGATGAGGTGGTGGATCTTCTGTCCCATCAAGTCGATGACAGTCAAGAGAGGAACAGCAACTATAAGAAAACTAACCGCACAAAACACGAAAGGGACACAGAACAACGAGAGTCACYACCGATAGTTGCGMTAGCGGTGGTAGGAATTCATCTGTGCAAGACACTGAGCCCCACCTGTATCGGGATCGTGAACGCCCTGGGGCCGAAGAAATGTCCGTGTCTAGTGCTCGCGCCGTGTTGCCTGCCACGGGTAGTTCTCCAGTCGCGGTACAAGGAACGAAAGCCGAACGCGAACACGACGCTGCTCCAGGTTCGGCAATATGAAACGCCCGTTGAGTTGGACCGGCGCAGGAAGGCCAAGGAACGTCGAGATGCRTCCATGGTCCGGGGGAATAGGATTGGAGGAAAGAAAACTCGCCCSGTCTCGATGGTACGGCTCCCACCGATACCCGGTGGGAATTACCCCTCTCCCGTCGCCGGAGGATCGACTATTGGAATTCCCGGAAGTGCGTGCTGGAAATGTGGGGAATTAGGGCACCAAAAAAAGGACTGCCCGTCCAACCAATCCACCGGAAAGCCTCGCCTCGTACCACCGATGAGTCTCTCATTGGATGTTTCGGGTATCCTACAAGAAGAAACACCCTTYCAGGCCTATTGCAACCTGTTGGCGACTAGCATCCAACGAGACGAGGTTTCTGTTCGACAAACAAACATCGAGAACGGCCATTTCAAGAGCAGGAACAAAGAGAGAGACACCCTCGCTAAAAATTGGAACAGCGAACGAAAATCGATTTTCATAGTTGCGACCGATGCCATCTGACAAACGGAACAGTTACACAGTTTTGATTAGAGGAGTTTCGTTCCTAGTATGACTATAAAGTTATCATTACGAGCACTTCATTCCAAAATATGACGCTTGTTTTCCAGAGACTCGGTAATTTACGTTTCTTCGGTTCTATCCATMTCTTTCTGYCATTGCTAGTTTGTAGCGCGGGTTTCTTCGCATGCTTCTAACCCGACCTCATCCGTTTCTGTTGCGTAGCCATAAGGATTTGTAGATTGCCACTTCCATGTATCCTCACACATTTCTTCGACGCCGTATTCCGCCTTCCACTTCAAAAGATCGTTTGCCAGCTTGGGGTCGGCATACATTTCGGCAACGTCTCCAGGTCGCCGATCTACAATGCTATAAGGGACAGGCTTGCCGGTGGCCTTCCCCATCCCCCCAACAAGGTCCAGGACCGAAACACCCCGTCCTGTTCCAAGGTTAACGGGCTCGCAACCGAGATCGGGAGTTGTGTACAGTTTTTCCAATGCCGCAACATGCCCTCTCGCAAGGTCCACCACATGGATGTAGTCCCTGACGCCGGTTCCATCGGGCGTATCGTAGTCGCCCCCAAAAACACTCAGCTCGGGTCGACGGCCCACGCAAACCTGCGCGATGAAGGGCATCAAATTGTTAGGTATCCCCTGCGGGTCTTCCCCGATTCTACCCGAGGCATGGGCACCGATGGGATTGAAATACCGCAGAATCAAAATRTTCCATTTCTCGGGATTGGAAGCGAATGCATCCCGCAGAATCTCTTCCACAAATAGTTTCGTTCGGCCGTATGGATTTGTGGCCGACAACCTCGCCGATTCGGTCAGGGGCAGCATTTCTGGTTMCCCGTAAACAGTTGCCGATGAGCTAAAAACAAAATGACGAACCTTGTGCTCTTCCAATCGTTCCAATAGATTAACGGTCCCGCCGATGTTGCAATCGTAATAACTCAGCGGCTTTTGCACAGATTCTCCAACAGCTTTGAGTCCAGCAAAATGGATGCATGAATCTATTTCGGGAAACTCAGTCAAGACTATTTTGAATGTCAATATTTGTTTTGGTCAAGGGAATGTTCCGACGATGTGAGTTGGGCGATGGCTAAATAAAATAACAATAAAATAACGCGCTAAATTGTTCGGGTTGCACAGAAACACTAGTCTTGGTCAAGGTTGCTCCACGGGAAAGATAATCCATCTCCCAAGCTCTGTCTGATATATCCACGTACGGTTCTGTTCGACTTTTCGCATTTTCCGGTTTTCAATGACTCTTCAACTCACCTTTGTCGAGGCCCTCCTTGTCGCGAATGTCGCAATTACGGAACTGGATCCGATCCTCTCCGCATTCTCCAAGTTCTTCTCCGACTAATTCCCGAACCCGTCTCAAGCTTTCCTCCGACGAGTTGTCTAGATTGTCGACGACGACTACCTTGTATTGTTCATTAGGAATTCTGAGCAGCTCGAGGCAGGTGTGCGATCCGATGTATCCAGCTCCGCCTGTTACCAGGACTGTCCGCTGGGGACCTGCTGTCATGGCAAGAGCCAGGACTATCGACGAGGTGATAGCCGACCAGGAAGCCAACAACGCAGCGGAGGCCAGGAAGCAACGGCTACTGATTTCACTGAGGTGGAGATTATTTCCTCTGTACATGATTTCTGCTTTCAAATATTACTAGTCGACCTAGCACGAGAAGATGTTTGACCGGAGCTCTGATCAAAAATGGAAGTTGTTTTCCTTTGGGGTTGCTGCAACAGAGGAAATAGACACCGGTGTGTACGAATTAAAGTTGTGGGTCCCGAAGTTGCGATCGATGATTTTGTCTGCAGGACTGGTCTTTCCCATGAACGCCTAATCTACAAGTACAGTATGGTGGAGTTCGTGTTGGTGTTTGTTATTGTGATGAAACGATACTTGGGATTTTTGTTGTCAACGGTATCGCGTCATACCCTACCGGTACGTTCGTACCGTACGGTATGAATAATGTTGAGTAAAAGAACCGGGTTTTCTGTACTACTGGGTTGTACGAACTTCAAGCGGTGCAAGTTTTGATTTTTTCATTTTTCACACACCTTTTTACGAGTATCGTCCGTAGCGTACGTACGTACGAGTATGTTACCCTTCCTCGTACAGTTCGGTACGGGTTGCAGGTGGTTGGGGTCTACGGTTGCACATGTGAGGATATAGGATCGAGCAAACGTACATTTCACAGCACATACCGTACATGGGAGCGAGACTTGACCGTTGATGCGATTGAATTCAATCATGATTGCTTACACGCGGAAATAGTGACGTCAGAATGCCTGTTAGTCTGTCCTATCCAATACCGAAGTAGAAGTAGATTGTAAGAGCAAATCACGACTAACTTCCGAGTRAAAATGGCGGACACGTCTCTGTCGAGTTCTTGCGAATCACATCGYTAGAAGCCTCTAGTCGTACCGTGCTACTCATACTCCGAAGCCCAAATCTTCGGTTGGGGTTCGGGTTGAAACTTCTATTGGTACCACATATCAATTATCGATATCATGACCATTATTTCTTCGTGAGAAAGTCAGAAGTTACTACTAGTACGGGTATGCATTCAGCCTTGCAGCGAGATGATAGAAATTCCAAATTCCGATGGTACACAATTATTGGTCGTACTTTCTGTCATTGGTAAGGCATGAGCCTCTATTGGCCCTACATAGCCAAGGATACGAGTACCGGTAGCATGAGGCTTCGTTCGGTAGATTGAAACAAACTTCGAGTGCTAATKATATTTATTTTCCGTCAGGTTATGGTTCCGAGGGACCCAAACAACCCTGATCGATTGCAGAGGGTACGTAGCTCACCGACAGACAGGGAGCAAAGATGTCTCTTTGTTCGCAACCTCCCCCCCAACAGCTCTTTTGCCGTTTAAAGGTTCGCTTTCAAGTAATCGGTAGAGTGCGGGAGAATGAGGAGAAGAAGAAGCGACCTCGAGCTGAAAGCRATCGATGCTCGTGTTGCTGGTGTCTGTGTGCTGATCGCTGGCATCTTTTCGAAGGCCTCCAGTGGAGAAAAAAGCAAACACCGTTGTAGAAAGTGACATTGGCAGCAAYGGCGAGTCAAAAGAACGCGGAAACACGGTTCGAATCGGAAATGCTCGGTGGGGCCACGCATCGTGCTGGTTTTTGGAAGTGGAACTATTGCCGTTGCTGTTGCTCCCAAAGGAGAAGATATGGATCGCCCCGTTTGTGGCATCCAGTGCCGCCAGCAAAATGCCGTTGCTCTCCTCGGCGTTTTGTTCGGCAGACCATTTCATGTCCGCGAACTTGTGACAGGTTCCGTCTCCGCCGTCACCGGAGGTCTTTCCAGGGGTCCTGCACGCGATCGGCGCCTGAGTTCTCGCGTCGAGGGAGTCCCCGATCACCAAGATGGTGCTCCCACCCAGGGCCGCCAGCCATTTCCCGTTTGGACTGAACCGCACCGACTTGACGGCCGCATTGAAGCCCACCCAATCCACAAGGCTGCCCTCTCCCGTCGGTGGTGGATCGAGCAAACCTTCTGCACCAACGGAAGGAAGTCTTCCCCCTCCCTTTCCGAGTGAAACGACTCGCAGAGTCTTGTCCAAGAATCCCATCGCCACTTTCTCTCCGCAGGGTGATACCGAGAGGCACTCGACCGCCGCTCCGGGGCGCTCGAGAGGAGGAGGAACAGTGGCTTCCGACGGCAACGGCGGCGRCGACGACGACGAAAGCCACGCCACCACTCCGTAGGAGGCCACGGCCAGCCAAAAGGCTCCGGCCGGTGCTGCCCTTGCGGAGAGCCCCGTTATGGATCCCGCTGTTGATTCCAGCGAAGAAAGGACGTCGCCTCCGTGGTGGTTCGAGGCATCCACCCACACCGCGGTTCGGCCCGCTGCGGCACCGAGGCACGAGCCGTCCCCGCTCCAGGAAAGGTGCTTGACCCAGAGCTTTTCGCTCTGAAACAATGGATTCCTTGTGCGTCTGTTGCGCAAGGCAGCGGGAGCAACCGGAGTGGTCCAGAGAAGGGCTCCGGTCGAGAGCCTCCACACCTGCACCCACCCGGAATCGTCGCCGATGGCGATCCTTCCGCCATCGGAAAAGCCGGGCGAGATCTTGAACGAAAGAATCCTCGGTGGTTTTTTCGTTGCGGTCTCTCCGCTTTTGCCTTCCGTGGTGCCGTAGGTCCTGGACCACACCGAAACCACGGTCCTTCCTTGGGGAGATCCGTGCGATGCATCGCCGCCGGACGATATTGCTTCCAGGATGCTTCCATTGGACCGCAGGAGGAGGAAGGAAACCGGACCGAAMAAGCTGTTGTCGGCGTCRCCCCCATCCGACGTTGCGCAGATCGGAACGGCTTGTTCGATGGTCGGATCACGGATCAGCACGAGCCTTTGCCGAGGTGTGGTGGTCGCTGTTGCTGTTGCTGTTGCTGTTGCTGTTGCTGTTGCTGCTGTTGGTGGTGGTGTTGTCGTTGCAACGGCGGTTGGGCCCTTCCCCTCCAGGGACTCCAGGGACAAGCACTCGGTCACCGGTGGGGCTTTTAGCGGCAGAAGCCTCGCGGCGATCGAGTCGTTGACGGATTCCAGGCTCACGACCGAGGKTTYCAAAGACGCCCGGCCCCGTGGTTCCGGGGGTGCGTCTTTGTCGTGGTCCTTYCCCCTGTTCTCCGTCTGCATCCTTCGCAGGAGGTCGTCCCAGGATCCCTCCCTCCGCGAGTGCTCCCGGTAGACGAAGGAGGTTCCAAAGGTRTGGACGTAGCGCGTGTCGATGACCCTCAGGGCCACRCCATCGACCCGGACAAAGTTTCGCAGCAGACAGGCCCAGCCCTCGTCGCAGACAAAAAGCCTGGCCTTGAGCCAGGCCAGGCCGCTCTCGTGGAGGTCGTCTTCCCACAGGTCGACGTCCTCCCGGAAGGAAAGGGTGTGGCCGGACCGTCCCARCATGCCCTCGATGTCGACGACTCTTTCCGAGCCGCCCTTCCCCCGAGCATCGGACGGCCCCAGCGGTTTCCATTCGGGGGAGCAGAGCCCCGGGTTGGCTCTCGCGGCGAYCGGATCCGGAGCGGCGTGCCCGGTTGCGATCCGGTGTTGGTTCTCGCTGGCGACGGCGATTGTCCCGGGAAAGCGAGGCACGGGCGGCGCTGCGGTCTCCCGTTGGGATGGGGTTGCTGCTGTTGCTGTTGCTGTTGCTGTTGCTGTTGCTGTTGTTGCTGCTGCTGTTGTTGCTGCTGCTGTTGTTGCTGCTGCTGTTGCTGTTGCTGTTGCTGTAGGTTGGGACACAAAGGGCGCCCGCCCCCCGTCGGACTTGCACTTGCAGATCGGTTTGCGCAGCTTTGGAACGAGGGGGCCCGCGGGTCGAGACCGCAGCCGTGCCGAAGGGGTCCCCCCGGCACCGGCGGTTGCATCGCCCCCCGCCGTGCCCTTGGAAACGTGCCTGGCCACAAAGGAGGTCGAGTCGGGCCGCAGGTAGTCGTAGTCGTAGTCGTAGTCGTAGTCGTAGCTTGAGTCGCAGCCGGAGTGTTCCCCGCGCAAGGGGACCGCGATCCGGTCCGTTCCCCCCTTGTAGGGGGTTGTGTAGGTGTAGTCGTAGCACGGAGAGAAGGTGATCGGTGCGCTGTTTGTTGTAGGTGATGGTGGTGTTGGTGGTGAATCTGCTTGGTTTTGCGGTTGCGGTTGGTGTTGGTGTTGGTGTTGGTGTTGTATTTGCTTTTGTATTTGAATTTGGTTTTCTTTCTGCATCTGCATCTGCATCTGCATCTGCATCTGCATCTGCATCTGCATCTGCATCTGCATCTGCATCTGCATCTGCATCTGGTTCCGTGTTCGTGGAAGGTGGCCCGTGAGCCGATTCCAGTGGGCACTCTCCAGGGCAGCCGCGGTGGGAATCGGTGCTTCGTCCAGCGACATCCACCCGCGGAGTGCCTCGAGGGCTCCGAACCGGATGCGGTACCCGGTGTTGCTGCTAGTGTTGCTGCTAGTGTTGCTGCTAGTGTTGCTGCTAGTGTTGCTGCTAGTGTTGCTGCTAGTATTGCTGCTGCCTGCACCGGCCGGAAAGCCCTCCGCAAGAATCTCCAGCGTGTTCTCCGGAAAGACGGCCTCCGGAAGCGATTGGCCCTGGAAACACCCCAGTTCCCGGCTCCAGGCATAGTGCCCCTTGGTATCCAGGATGTGGGACCTCCGGCCCCGAAAGGTCCACCTTCGAAACGCAGAAGGATCGCCTCGGCGATCGTCGTGGCGAAAGGACGTGGTGTGGATTCGGTTGCGGACCGCGTCCCAGAACGGAACCGGGGGCTGCTTTGCCGGGGAGGCCCTGGATGGGCCCGCGGGCGTGGCGAGAGCCATCGCTCTCGCTGTGGTTCCCGCTGGTTCCATTCCGTCGTGGGTGTCCGGGAGAGGAAGAAGCAGAACTCGAGGAAATGGCAAGGACAAGGACAAGGCCAGGGGCAGGGGCAGGGAATCGCGCTTCTCTGTCGGTGTCAAGGTATCAATGGCAGAAGCAGTGGCAGAAGCAGTGGCAGTGGCAGTGGCATAGAGGAAAGATGTTGCTATAAAATACTAGAGGCCTTTTCTCGCATCGATCGTTTTTGTTTTCGTTGTTTATTTGCCGTTGCCTACGTACGTTCGGTACGTACGTACTGGTACGTCTGGTAGCAATATGGTATATGGTTTGTAGCACTTATCATTGTAGCTATCTGGTGGTGGTGGCTGGTGGTACTATTACTCTTAGTAGTACTAGTGTAAGTCACAAAAAGTGTTCGCAAGATTTTGTCACAACCCTGAAGTTTTTGTGCAAGCACTCAGCACGGGGAAGTTATGATTATCAAGAAGCATCATACTAGTACTAGTAGTACTGAGGACCCTCCTCATTTTGTGATTATTTTTGCGACAAAATGCGTTTCACACAGCACACCAAATTTATTCTGCAGTATTTCTTCAACCCATACTCACTCCACCACCACTCAATAATCGTGATGCACAACTTCAACAGTTATGACAACAGTAACCCCCAACCAGGACTCAACTGCTTGAAATAGTAGTAGAAACTCTTGATCAACCCCAACCCCATGCAATTAGTATTACTCTCAAGTAACCTGCTTGGTGGAATCATTATTTTGGAACAATGTTTCTACTACCACAAGGTTTCAAATTTATGGAATGGTTGGGCCCTCATCACTACCTCACAGATGATGTGGAGAAAATATATGGTGAATAGTAGCAGTGTTACCATGATTGTTACTATGTATGATGAATGAATTCTACAAGTGTGTTCATGTGAAACAAAACTTCTTCCACAATAGTCCCCACTGTTGCAACCAGGAAACTAAATAATTGCTGGTAGCTACAAGATTGTAGCGACATGGTAGCACCAACACTTTCCAGTGTGACCTTACTAGTAATCGTCATATAGTAACACAACTGCTAATTAGTACTTGGGTATAAGTTTTGTGGAACATCTTCTTGCAGCAGTAACAGCTGGTTACAAGTATTTTGACTGAATCTTGGAAACAGAGCTTCTTCTTCTTCTTCTTCTTTGGTGCTGTTGTTGTTGTTGTTGTTGTTGTTGTTGTTGTTGTTGTTGTTGTTGGAAATCTACAGTTCATGCCTCTTCTCAAACATATTAATTTTATACTAGAACAATTGGTTTTAAGGTGAGAGAACAAATCAATCAAATGATCATGCTGGTATGCAACTGGGTTTACCACCACCAGTACTTCTACTAAGGTGAATCTGACACCATGCCCAACACACAGAACCATCAGAACACTGAATTGGTGCAATTTCAGCACATGAACCTACTAGAGCCCGCACACCGCTCTCATATATACTAAATTTAAATGACAATTGGTTTTATGGTGGGAGAACAATTCCATGAAATGTTGGCTTGGACTTGATTAACTACTATTTTGTTCAATCTGACACTCAAAAAATCCCTTACTAGTAGTCATGCTGAGGACTGCCACTGAAAAAGGGAAATATCAGCTTGGGAGGATGATGATTCTTATCTCCACCAGTAACAATGAATCCTCCTTCTCTTCTATCAGCATGAGTCATGTGCAAGTATGGAATTCTATTGGTACTAGCTAGTAATCTAGTAGTTGTGCTACAATTGGTAACAGTACTAGAAACAGAAGTGGAAATAGAAATAGTATATTCAAATTTGAAATGTTTTTCTTAGTATCATCTCTTCCTTACATGAGCAAGTACTTCTAGTAGTAGTAGTACTTGTAATGCTAGCTAAGTAACATGCTCATAATTTCCAATGAGTCTTTTGCACAATGACAAATACAATCAGTGGGTGGAATTTGAAGAGAATAAAAGTTGACCCAAGTGGAAAGAAAAGAAAGAAGAAATTTTTTGAAGAAGAGGAGAGTAGAACAAGAAAAGTGGGTTGGGCAGTATCAGAAACAGATGTTTTTGAAGTTGTGTGAAGGGATCCTCAAGGAGTTGCGTCAAAAGAACCCTGTAAAGAAGATATGAGGAATTCTGCTGTGCCAGTATCTATCAAAACAATTGAACACAAACCTCACATTCCTGAGGCATTGCAGCTCCTTCTGGGCTACTCTTCTGAGAATACTACTGAATAAGTACAATTGAGTTGTAATAGGTTCAGCAACAGCAGGGGAGAGGTTTGAAAAATGTTTGGTTACCACACAATTTTCTCAACACAGTTGTAATCATTTGACATGGTGCTGGTGGTAAGAAAAATTAATGAAGCTCTGATTACACAGCAGTCTGGAAACATGACATAGTAGTGGGTTAAAATAACCCCAAAAAATTTAAAAAGGGTAATAATAGTAGGATACTCATTTGATGCAAACTCATTGTATATTTTGACTGTAAAAATACTAGGGTTGCAACAGGGCATTTGACAAGGTTGTCGCAATTACTTTTTCTGACATAGTAGTAGCTGCTGATATAGATGGCAAGGAAGAGCTGCTGGTGGTGGTGATACAAAATGCTGGTGATAGTTTGGCAGTGATACTAGTACTAGTAGAAAGAAGAAAAGATCATGATGCTGGTGCTGATTCAAGAATACAAGAACAAGAAGTTCTTGCTGATGCGGATGATATTGCATTTTCTCCTACTTTTTTGACCATGAGATTGCACTTCTTCTTTTTACTAGTATCTCTTTACTCTGTACCTGTTCTTAGCCAAGTTCTGGTTACACAATTCAGACTGCGCTTGTAGTAATTAGCTTGAGGTGCATGTACTTGACCAAAAAATGACTACTGAGATTATCTTCACAAAACTCATTTCCAAAAAGGACCTAGCTGTGAGGCACGTAAATCATGAGTAGCTAGTGAGTGATCCCTAACCTCACTCTCACTCTTTATTGTAAACACGTATGGGTACTTATGACTCTAAAGAGCACAGGGGTCATAATTTAGAGGGGTATGCAACGAAGTTTACGAAGCACGAAAAAAAAGTGAAACTCATATTCCACGTGCGGTCCATATTTCCAAAAAGTCTCTCAAGGAATTTTTTTCATTCTCATTTTTACTGCATAATACTAGTAAAACTATCCAACCTTTAAGCAGTTACAGCTTTATCAAAAATACTACTATTTTAATTTTTGAGTAGCCAGCCTAATCCACTTTTTTATGCTGATTCTGAATATACCATTTTGGAGGATATTAAATTGATATTTGTGGTAGTTGTAGTAAAAGTAGTAGTAACAGTAGTAGTAACAGTAGTAGTACTAACAGTAACATTAACACCAGTAGTAAGATAGCAGTAGTAACAGTAGTACTAGTAGTACTCTAGTAGTAGTAGTAGTAGTGGTACTGAGGTGAAACTCATCATGGTAGTATTAGTATTAGTAGTAGTAGTACACAAATATCAATTTAATATCCAAAATGGTATATTCAGAATCAGCATAAAAAA